ATCTAATTTATATTTTAAATAAATATATAAATCTAACATATTTTTCCTTAATATATACATGTATGTGTGTATTTATATATACATATAAATATACACAATACACACACTTGTGTATAGTTAATAATAATAATAATAACAAGAACATTTTATTGTTAATAATAATAATAATGATAATAGTAAATCCTCATCCAGTAATCATGAATGGTATGAAAGGCATAAAATGTATTTATAAAAAAGTTTTGAGAGCCCTTGTTTATTAAGTGGCTAATAAATCTATTAGAAATGAAAAATGAATGACAATATTTTGCCATTAATTTGATTTTAAAGAATTTTCATTAAATGTAAAAATCTATGACTGAAACAAACAAACAAACAAAAAAAAATGTAAAAAGTTAAAAATATTTTTTGTTACAGGATATTGAGAAGACAATGAACACGGCACTTCATGAGCTCCGTGAATTGGAACGCCAAAACACAGCCAAACAAGCTCCTGACGTTGTTCTGGACACTTTAGAACCGCTCAAGAACCCTGTTAGCTCAGAGCCAGCGAGCCCCTTACACACCATCATGATCCGAGATCCGGATGCGGCCCTGAGACGCAGCAGCAGCTCCACCTCCGAGATGATGACCACCTTTAAACCGGCTTTGTCGGCCAGATTGGCCGGAGCCCAGCTCAGACCTCCACCTATGAGACCTGTGCGACCCCCACCCACTCAGCACCGCTCCAGCAGCTCCAGCTCCTCTGGGGTGGGAAGCCCTGCTGTGACCCCCACAGAGAAGATCTTTCCAAACAACGCGAGCAATGCTGCAGCTTCCTCTGCCAACTCTGGTGAGAAACCCGGGACCATGTAGCAGCAGCAGCAGACCTGTGGTGTGGTGTAGCTACCTGCGCTGGTGCTCATACCAGGAAGGAAGTTCAGGAGTGCTTCTCATTTGTTTTTGAATTTATTATTTGAGCCTTTGAGAGTTGTTGAAATGCACATGGGTCGGAGCTGTGGCCTAGTGGTCTGACATGTCAAACCTGGTTGCGGATGATGTGAGTTGAGACTGGCTCAGGTGATTTTCCCATTCCATTCCATTCTTCCCATCATTTCCGGCCCTCTCTGTGAAAAAAACAAAAAATGTACAAAAAAAACCCCCTAAAATACAAAGGAAAAAAGAAAATTCCAAGGTGAATTTCATGCTATGATAAAAAGAAGGTTGAAAAAAAAAAAAGATAAATTCCTCTTTTTTATTATTATTATTATTAATTTTACCTCAGCATTAATATCAAGTTGTTCTTTTTGGCCACATTTTTATGTGAACTTTATTTAGAGCAAGATTAAACGAGTGCTTTGCATTTGTTTCTCTCTGCACTGGTTGGCCAGAAGAGTTCTGTTATTCAGGAGTGAATAAACTCTCATTGGAGGACTGTTCTAAAATAAGTGATAAGTCTTGCCCTCCAGAACTGGACTGTACATAATAATAGAACCAAACGGTCACTCAAAGACTGTCTAACACGGCCAGCTACCTTTGAGCTGTTGTAAATAGAGATATATTGTACTTGAACTTATAATGCCTTTCGTTTGTAGAATAAGCGATGTACATCTAAGTAACAACATAGCCAAGCGCTAAACATATATGAGATGCAGAAAACCAATATACCAACTAATTGTAAGACACCTGTGGTAAAATGTAGTTTTACTTGTATATAAATTTTGGGTAGATTCTTTTTTTAAGTGTCAATCTTGTACAGCCGAGGACAGAACAGGCAGGGAGAATAGAACGGCTTTTATCAAAAACATTTACAACCAAGAAGCAAACAAATAATGAATCAATAGTCTGAGCCATTAATATTGATATTAGTTTGAGGCGTGCTCTACTTTTTTCTTCTCTGTGTTTTTTGGATCACGTCAGCTTCCTAATACAAAAAGCAGATCATCATGCCTAATTTACACATGTAAATGCTTCATTATAAAATTGCATGGCTTTAAGGCATTCCAATGTGCTCCATGTTATTGCAAGTGTCCATCATTTACCTATTTCAAATAGTCCTGCTTTGGACATGTATCCCATATATACTATGTCAACTGATTATATGAATATTAATACTTACTAAAATAGCCAGATGACACATGGGCAACCCAAGTAAAAGGGTGAATCGCACCAAATGTACCCGGGACTTTCGATGAGAATTTATCAAAAACATTTGATCAATTGTAATGACAATAATATCATAAAACAGCAAATTCTAAAAACAGGACTCATTTTCTTATGCAAAATATATTTTCATATTTTTGTTCTTTTGATTTTATGACGATCTGGACATATTTTTGTGAGATTCACCCAAAAGCTTGTGTATGTCAAATGTACTATGCAAAGTACACCGTATTCCCAGATACATTTTTAAATGCATAGTGCACTGTCTCTGGTGAGGTACAGATCCCTCCTCCCGATCTAAATATTAAATGGCCTACACGATAATAACATAATACAATATATATATATACAATAATACAAAGAAAATCCTAAAATGACTAATTTTCTTCTTCAAAATACGAGAAACGTTTCCGCCGCTAGAACCCCTCCAAGAGAAACTCCACTGCCCCCAATCTGTCATATCATCTCCAGTTCATCTTCAGTGTTACCCCTCCTCCCTGAGCTGTGCTTGAAAAGGGAATACCCAGTCGTGTACACAAATTTGCCCGACTGACCTAGATATCCACTTAAACACACTGAGCCCAAAGCTTTAATCTCATCTTCTTCACTGATTTTACTTTTGCAGTTTGGCTTAGGGTATGCCACTTCACACCATCCAATCAGAATGGCAGTATGTGAAAGCTTGTGTAGGGAAAAAAATGAATTACATAAAAACGGTTCTCCTGAGAAAACAGTACTGTTACTGTTACTACATTTGATGTCATGCTTGAGCTGTTGCATCATCTGTCTGCGTTAGTCTTACATTTCTCGTTGGTGCCATACTGATTTACTCTTGCATTTGGAGCATAAAAAATTGAAAATCTCTTCTGAGACTCCATGTACTGTTGCTGCCATCTTGAATTACTTTTAACAGATGATTTTAGAATGACTGGTAATTAGCTTCTGTCTGAATTCCTCAGCTTTGTAGTAGCATGGGCCTGTTGTCCGCATGTGAGGGAGACCGTCTTGCACGTGCTTTTCTTTACCAAGCAGCACTGTTCAAGGAATGATAGCAGTGCCTTTCCCTAGATACAACGCACAATGTCCTAAAATATGTTAGCCTTCAGCCACAAGGGAGCGATGGGAAACTGGCTCTGTAGCTGCGAGGATTAGTCTCATCTCAGGAAGGGATTCTAATTTTGTTTCTAATATCTCCTACCGTATCACTTCCCAATAGCCGTCATTTTAACATATGCATAAAGACTAATTTGCTGTTACTAGGGCACATATCTATTTCTGGATGTTCATTTGAATTCAGTCATGACAATTCAGCATAATTAAACCTGGATGGATGAGGGCTTAAATCTATTTACAGTAAAGAAAACATGCAGAATATCGCAATGCATAATTCATAATTCAGTGTATAAAACAGACCGTTTTGGGTCATTCTTCTGTGAGTTGCACTAAAGGGTTCCCAAGTTCATAGAAAACCTGGAAATATCAGGGAATTATAAAATTGGGATTTCCAGGCCTCGAAAGTCAATTATGTCGATTTCTATAGTAAATACAGTTATGAGTTTTCTTGTTTTTCTCAACTCAAAAATAATTAAATGGCTAAAAATAAAATTCTAAATTAAAATAAAATTTAATGTGTAAAATTAAAAATATTTTGTATTAAAAATAAAATTTGTCTGTTAAATCGATAAATCACGATTAATCGCATACACAATAAAAGTTTGTGTTTACGTAATATATATGTGTGTACTGTGTATATTTGTATGTATGTATAAACACTTATATATTTAAGAAATATTTACGAATAATAATAATAACAAGAACATTTTATTGTTAATAATAATAATAATGATAATAGTAAATCCTCATCCAGTAATCATGAATGGTATGAAAGGCATAAAATGTATTTATAAAAAAGTTTTGAGAGCCCTTGTTTATTAAGTGGCTAATAAATCTATTAGCCACTTAATAAACTTAAATTTATTACGTTTATTAAGTTTACCACATAAACCTGTCTTCACGCATAAGGGCTAAGATAAATGCTGCCCTCTGGTGGCCTTAAATGGCCTTTCTCTGCTCACAACGTCCCTCTGTTGGTCAGTGCTGGTATTGATCATTCATTGACAAAGACTAGGCAGGAAAAAAATAAAAACAGTTGGCAGACATGAAGCTGTTTGTTACAAATGTAACCACATTTCTCACTGTTTCTCATGTTCTACAGCGTATCTTGTCTTGGTGTCATTGTAGGCAAAAGGAAATCAGACCAAAGGATCACGTAAATCAGTGTCCGTCGAGAAATCCACAACCATACACTGTCTTTACTCATGTTGTAATGTAATCATGCCTTTGAGTGTCATGAGTTTCGTCAGACTTCTACTCGTTCTGCTGAGAAAGTTAGCGCATTACGTTCTCATATATCTGTTGTACAGCTCATTTAGTACATACTGTATAGTAGCGCTTACATAACGAGACAAAGTTTGATTATATATGATAAGTTTACAGAAATTGCCATCCGTAACATACTAACATAGTCATGGTTGTGCCATTCATCTCTGTTTATCTCTCCTCTGCCAGTGAACGAAAGGCTGTGCTGTGAAAAGCGTATGCTTTTGCTGTTGAGTTAAATCTTCTACCCAAGCTAATGCATTGCAGTATTTAAGGCCGTGTTGGTCTGATAATAGGATGTTGTATGGTACTTGCACGATTACTAAGGCACTTGGTGCATCCTTGTACTTAATAGACTGTATGTGATGTTACTGGAAGTATGTTTTGGGAATGTATGCTACATTGGGCGTGTATTGTACGTATGCCACAGTGGGTGTTTATTGTATGTATGCTAAGATAACAGAAAATATAGGCTTTCTCCTTCTCTGGACACAATGTTCCACAGGACAAAGGTGCCATCTGTCTGTAGTAGTGGGTTGTGAAAACTGTCGTTTGGGTTATTTTTTCCTCCTCTAAACACTTTTTGTCTAGTGATGCTGTTCTCAGATGAGTGTTTGAATGGTTGGATTACCCCCCTGTGATGTTATCGTACACCATCCCACTGTTTGGATGTGAACCATTCCAAGTTCAAATAAAGATTTTTTTTTTGACCTTACAAAAAACGTTGTCCTTTTTTCATTTTAGATGAAATGGATTGGTTGAAGCTTGTGTCATGTAATGCTTGTGTTCATAATACTACTCATTATTGAACTAACTTTGCATAACTCTTACTTTAAAACTTACATTAATGTGAATAAAAATCAGCCCAAAATCAATAAAACACAGAAATTAAAATATTACAAATTAAACATTTAATTACTGGACTGTAAAAAAATAAATGATAAAAAATTATAATAAATATGATGATAATAATAATAATTTTTGTTATTAATATTACTAGTACTATTATGTATTTATACATGTGTATGTATGAATGGGTTTAAAGTGTGTGTGTGTGTGTGTGTGTGTGTGTGTGTGTGTGTGTGTGTGTGTGTGTGTGTGTGTGTGTGTGTACCTGGTATTTATCACGTTATGGGGACCAAATGTCCCCACAAGGATAGTAATACTAGTAAATTTTGACCTTGTGGGGACATTTTTGAGGTCCCCATGAGGAAACAAGCTTATAAATCATACAGAATTAGTTTTTTTGAGAAAGTAAAAATGCACAAAGTTTCCTGCAAGGGGTAGGTTTAGGGGTAGGGTTGGTGTAGGGCAATAGCACATACAGTTTGTACAGTATAAAAACCATTATGCCTATGGAATGTCCCCATAAAACATGGAAACACAACGTGTGTGTGTGTGTGTGTGTGTGTATGCGTGTGCGTGTGTGTGTATAAATATTACAGGAAATTAATAATGATATTTAATAATATAATAATATAATAATAATAACAACAACTGTTAGTATTAAAGGATGTGTGTATATATTTTGTGTATGTAATCTTATATATAATACTATTATTATTTATATATTTATATTGTATTTTACATTTTTTATTGCAGTTTTTCTTAATTGTGTGTGCGTAATTGTCATTAAATAATAATAAAATGTGAGAAATTAATGTCATTTTCTAATTGTTGTCATTTTTCTTTTTTAGCTGAAATCCATGTCATATAATGCTTGTGTTCATAATGCTACACATTATTGTGTGTTATTAACGCTCACATTATTTGGATTACATTTCAGCTCAAATTCAACAAAACATACATATAAACAAACATTTTTATTACTGGACTGACTGACTAACTGACTGACTGAATAAATAAATAAACAAACAAACATTATTATTATATTATTATTAGTTTTATTTAATATTTTACTTGATTGTGTGTGCTTGATTGTCATTACATAATGATACAAAATGCAAGAAATTAACGACGTCATCCTTGGTAACGTGTTATTTATTAATATATAATAATTTTAATTTTAGGGGTAAAATGTGACCTGAAATAAAGTGAAATAGAGATTCTTCTATTTACGAGAATGCACAGCGCGTCTGTATCAGTGTAGGATACACTTGCTTGTCTGACCACTAGATGGCAGGCGAAGACGGGCCCTGGCCTCTGGCAGTCGAAAGATAATGAAGCCTTAGAAATATATAATATGTTGTTTTATTTGTGACACCAAAGGTGGTCTGAAAAGAGGCAAAGAGGGAAATAATTTCCTTTCTCATTAAGCGCGCAGTAAGTCCGATGTCTTTCAAAGTGCATTTTGATTTTTCCTGAGTGCAATAGCGAGATATATATTCGCCAATCAATTATTAATTTATCATAACGCTACACAATATAGGCAGCCAATCAGGCGTGGAGCGTAGAAAAACAAAATCCCATTTGTTACACCTGAGGGACCCTTAATAAACAAGACGTAAACATGAAAAATATTTTCACTCTCTCGCTCTCATTTTAGTCCCTTGATTTATTGTTTAATCTCAACATGCTTTCCTCTCCCGTGTTTTGAGAACGTTGTGAGGACATTTCATAACATACACATTTTATTGCTAGTTATTAAAATAAAAACGTTTTGGCGAATTTTACACTGTTAAACACGTAGTCAAAATGTCATTTAGAATATTACATTTATTAGGCATTCATAACAGATCAAATAATATAGTGTAACTTTATTACATTACATGTCTTTACTGGTGCTGTGTGTTGATCTTGAATGTCAGTTTCATGTTGTTTTGATAGGTTCTTGGTGGCTTTGAACATTTATCCACCTAACCAAGCCCTGCTGTCATAACACTTCATACTTCACAATCACAAGAACAGAGAAGAAATGCTTTTATTTTTATAACAGGATCGAGTGGAAGGCAGCAGCATGAGGAGGAAAACCTAAACATGCATATCATAGCAGATATAGGTTATCTATTGTTAAACATCAGAGAAACAGTCCATAGGCTACTAATCGTGGTGTCATTACAAACACTAGCTATTGTATATGCTCACTGACAATAAAAAAACTGTTATTTTACGGAATTTTACCGTTTTATTTGACAGTTTTTTCACGTATTTTTGAAATACAGATAAAAATAGTAAAATTACAGAAATAGACTGTAAATTTACAAATCCAGTGTAAAATCACATTAAAAAAATGTCAATTACATAACACCCCAAAAAATATTTTTTGAAGATTTTTTTCCACATAACACCAATTTATCAGTGCGCTCTCTCTCTCTCTCTCTCTCTCTCTCTCTCTCTATATATATATATATGTGTGTGTGCGCTATGTATATATATATATATATATAGCATTAATAATATAATATTTCATAAAATTGGTTGCGACAGTATCGATCCTAGCAAAAAGCAGTGCATGCCGGAATTTTACCGTTTTTTTACGGGATTTTTTTTTTTACAGTGTAGAGCCTTACAATACAACAGCGCTAATTTTAGAATGATCAAATTAGCTTCTTCAAACTAGATTGCTCTTTATGAAAAAAGGAATAAAAAGAATCAATTTGAACTTTAATGAGTTAAGTTTGGCTTCAAACAAGTTAAAACTGTTTTCTACATTTCGGTTTTGAATATCCTCTAAAGTGCATTTTTAAAAGTGTTTTTTGAAAGAATTCTTATGCTCGCCAAGGCTGCATTTACTTGATAAAAAAATAGAGTTAAAAACAGTAATATTGTTACGTATTATTACAATTTAAAGGAACTATTTTCTATTTTAACATGTTTTTTCCCCCTGCAAAACTGAAGTTTCAGTAGCCATTCTAATACACAGGCTTGACTCTCAATTATTAATAATAGGCCTAGTTTTTATTATTAACAATGTTGAACGGTTTTTGCTACTGAATATTTTTGTGACACTGTTAAACATTTTTTCAGGATTCTTTGAAAAACATAAAGTTAGAAATATAAAGTTTGAGAAAAAAAAAACTTAATTACCCCGTTAGTGTATCACAGTTAGTCAAAAAAAAAAGAAAAAAAGAAAAGAAAACATTTCTGCCCCACCTGAGTAAAATAGAAAACACCAAACAAAATCCAAAGTTTAGGATTCTTTGAACAAAAATTTATTAATGAAGATTTACATAGAAGTAGCAACAAAAACAAACAAACAAACAACAAGCACACAAACAAAAAGAAAAAAAAGACTGTTCCAGTCCCTGCTG